TTCTTGCTTCCTTGCTACTTATAATCTTCAAAAATTTCAATGTAATATCAATCACCATCTTTTGTCTTCCTGATTCCTGTTTTTTATTGTCCTCACTAGCATATTCTCATTTTTTTTCACTCTCAGTAAACCCTTGTGTCTTAGTGGTATTATCACCTTACTTGAAGTGAAATGATTTAAAAAAATATCATTTTATGTTTTTAGAAGTAATAAATTTCTCTTGTCAACACAGAATAAATGAAATATTCATCTCCGTCTTTGCTTTGTTGCTCTGATTAAGGTGGAAAGCAGGTTATATCTAGACTTCTATGTGTGTTTTTTTTTTTTTTTTTTTTTTTTTTTTTGTCCATGGATTTTTTTTAGCTGTATCTCTTACCTGAGAAGTTGCATTCTAAAAGATCCAACATTGCTTGATCTACCTAACTCAATAATGTGATGAAACACTAGTCTGTTGGCATCAGTAAAATCTGAAACGTTGTCAACATGTAATGGATTCAATAGAATCAGCTTCTGTGATCTGATACCTCTCATCTCTTAAGTCCACACCTTTTTTTGTAAGGTAGTATTAGTAGGCATGTAATTAGGTTACTTAAGTAATTAATAGGTGGGTTGGTGTCCAAATATCCAGACTCTAACAATCTTGGGTGAAACCCCCAAAAAATCACGCTGTTCATTTTCTTTTATGTGCTGTGTCCCTTCAAAACAAGTGTGATTGTGGCTCTACACAACTTCCTATCTTATGTAGTTCTAGGCAGTGTTTGTCTCTTTACAATCCCTCCCAGTCCATTTTGTTATCTATTTTCACAAGTTTATTAACTAAGTTTCTTAATGTTTCCCTCTATCGTCTTACCTTCAGTATGTCCTGTGAATATCAAATTCTCCAAGCCTTCTTTCCTCATTATGTTATAAAAATTTCAATTTTCTTTTTGATTCTACGTATAAGTGTCCTTTTTGTTCCCATTTTTCTTATGTCTTCATCATTGCTAATATGTTCCATCTATATTATTCTCAGCATCCTTCTGTAGAACCACATCACTGTTGCCTGAAGTCTCCTCTTCATCTGCAAGATTCACATTCATTACTATATAGGAGGATTTATATTACACAACAGTTCAGTGCTACTAGCTAGTTGTAAGAGGACAGAATGTATGGCCATTAGTAAAAGAGACCATCCAATATGTGAATTAGGAACTTGAAATATCGGAATGAAGCAAGTACAGAAATTTCTCTACAGGGGAAATGTTATAACAGACAAAGGAAAATGTGATACAGAAATCCCAAAGTGCATTGGAATACTTAAAGATGCCTTCCAAGATCTAAAAGCATTAAGGGACAAGAAAATTTTCTTAGTGATGTTAGTCATATTAACTTTATTATAAAAAGTTAGTATAGGTTCACCTGTCAGGAAACATTAAAATGATTGATTGCTTGTGGTCACATCACATTGAAACACCAGTTCCTGTAAAATCACTGAAGTTAAGCAACACCTAGTCAGTACCTAGATGGGTGAATGCTTGAAGAATACTAGTTACTGTAAGCTTGGATGTGAGGAATAATGGATAATGACTTAGAATTTTTAATCAGAGAGCCATGTTTCAATTCCCATTAGGTTTATTGTATTCACTTATGTGCAAATAGCCTTGGGAAATGTATGAATTCACCTTTTCTACTCCCAGCTATGGGTTAATTAGTAAGACTTGTATCACTAAACCATTAATATTGCAAAAAAAATTCTTACATCCTAAAACTATTTTCTGGCTTTAAATAACCTGCAAAGGGTTAATATACCATAGAAAACAAATCAGTTAATAAAAGAAAAAACAGATTAGGTCAAGAAAATCCAAAATGTGTTTCAGTTTAAATAACCCAAAAAGGTTTGATAAGCTGTTAAAAAAAAAAAAAAAATTCTAAACAAGAACAAATAGGTCAAGAATTAAAGTTGAGAAAGTTCAGAGGTTGAAAAAATTGAACCTGAAAACAATATCATAGTTTAGTTTTTCCTTCCAGTCTGTCAGCGTCAAGGTGAGTGGCCTGGAGAAGAGATATCTCATGGGCTCTGAGAGTGTCTGGCACTGAGTTGCTCAAGCATCTTCTTGGTCTGCCTCTCACTCTACAGCCAGAGTACCTGAGAGTGTATGCTTGTAGGGCTGGTTGGTTGATAGGTATTCGAGTGAGGTGTCCGAACCACTTGATCCTGTCGTTTGATGTGTTGTATGATTGGTATTGCTCTTACCATATCTCATTGCCTCATTCCTGATCTTAGCTCACCTGGTCTTGTTCACTATGTTATTAATTTCAGATGTAGAAGAATAATTCATAAAGAGATTTGTATGCTCCTATAAATAGTACAGGATAAATCAAGATTATGGATTATTGGCTCTGTTTAAAATATTTATATGTGAGCAGAATACTTGCTCATGTCAACTGATTCTTTGTGAAGATACTGGAAGCAGGTGTGGGTTTGTGAGCTGATGTTCAAGAAAGGCAACATTTGCAGAACATGACAAAGAGCTAATAATACTTGTTAGTGTTCAAAGGAAGGTAACAGCTTTCTTGAAAGACATTTTTATTCTTTTATTTCTTTATCCAATTTGCAATCATCCAGGGATGAAAATTTATGTTGTAATGAAATAATTATGAAACTTCAACTCAACTCTCTTTCTGGAGTTGCTCCCTTGATGCAAGCTTTGTCATTGATGACTCACTCTCATGACAATTGGTCATTTAGTGTGATATTTTATCCACTTAAACCAGATGAACAAAATACACAGGCATATATTAATGTTCAGCAATCAAAGAATCCAAGTATAGTTTGAATACATGGAGGAGGGAGGTTTGTCATGTTTTGTATGTTTTTGTTTTTTTTTTGTTTTTTCTCACCTATTCTTTTTCACCAACAAAAGCCCAAATTTGCTATTGTACAAGGTGTCCATAAAGTTCGTGTGCACTTTAAATTTAAAATTTTTAAAAAGTGCACATGAGCTTTATGGACACCCTGTATTTAGCAATAAAAATTAATGGAAGTTGTGATTATATTTAAATAATAAAAATTAATGGAAGTTGTGATTATATTTAAATAATAAAAATTAATGGAAGTTGTGATTATATTTAAATAATAAAAATTAATGGAGGTTGTGATTATATTTAAATAATAAAAATTAATGGAAGTTGTGATTATATTTAAATAATAAAAATTAATGGAAGTTTTGATTATATTTAAATAATAAAAAATTAATGGAAGTTTTAAATAATAAAAATTATTTAAATAATAAAATTAATGGAAGTTTTGATTATATTTAAATAATAAAAATTAATGGAAGTTTTGATTATATTTAAATAATAAAAATTAATGGAAGTTTTGATTATATTTAAATAATAAAAATTAATGGAAGTTTTGATTATATTTAAATAATAAAAATTAATGGAAGTTGTGATTATATTTAATGTATATCAACAAGGTATCCATTATTTACTAAATTTCATCCTTAAATCTAGAATGCACTTGTATAAAATACTTATATACACTAATGGAAAAAAATTACAACATTAAAAAGGATAATTCCACTTTTTACCTTGATGCAGTATGCACATACACTGGTATAGATATTCTGAGAAATTATTCAGGCTTCAGCCTTTTTGTAACATAGTAACACTCATATTAGTGCATCATCTATTCTGCTATAAGGTTCAGTATAGTTAAACAGGTCATTTCCAGGAGGTGTCATACCAGGGGGGGGGAGTACATGTGATCCTCTTGATCAATTAAATCTGTTTGAGAAGGGTTGGATTATGGACCTTCAATAGGGTTGATGGTCATTTCAGAGAATTAGTGCATATATTGGATGGGATGTGTTGATGATACATTGTTCTATATTAATATAAAGTTGGCTGAATTGAATAGTCTTTTCATTGTGTTCACTTCATTTGTGTATTTAAAATTAGTTATTTTAAACCAAATTACAATTCATTTCCTATAGTTTTTATTTCCTTTTTGGGAATGTCTGTAACATTGATACATGATAATGAGCAACATTATCCAAACTTTGATACTCCAAAACTTTTTAAATTTATCTATTTCTTAGTGAAACCAATTTAAAGCATTGCATAGAAACAACCCAAAAGTTTTGGATTGTAATTTGAAAAAATTATTCTTTGTTATTGAAAAGTTTAAAATTTTCATAGTTAAAAAAGTTAAATGTACCTACCATCTGTCTTTTTTTTTTTTTTTTTTTATTTTTTTTTTTATTTCATGCATTGAATGTCACATATTTGATTACCATATTATTCCATGTTTGTATAAGTGTATTAGTTTGTGTAATTTTTTGTAAATGCCTTCCACTTTAAATCTTTGGCATAAAACAAGTTTAAAGTTAAAGTATTGATGCAGAAAGAACTTTTCCAGTTGCTGCAAATGTTAGCAAATAAACTCTGTACAGATATACTTTTGGAACTGTTACTATTATGTTGGTGTTCAATGGTAGTTTTCAAAGTTTTTATTCTCAGTAATCTCAATGTTAGATTTAGACTAAGTATTTCATAACAATTCCTGTTTAAAAATAAATAGAAACTAAATGTGTATGTTTCAGCAGTGATATCATTTCTTTTTTTCAAATAATAATTTGTGGTTATTTGTCATGACTTTCTTTGATCCAATGAATTTTTCTCATGGAATCTAATAGCACTGCTGAAAATTTTTATTTTACTCTAAGACTTTTAAAGTTATTTAATGCTTCAGTTTGTATTCTTTGATTTCATTTTGATTTTGTTAATATTATTTGAAACTATTTTTATTTATATTTCTATATTTTTAATTAGATCACTTTTTTCTTTTAAATCTACTTTGGAAATGCTTCTTAGAAAATTTGTCTCCAACTTTTTTTTTTTTTTTTTTTCAAAATACAGCATTATATTAGTTTTCTATACTTCCAACCACACATTTCTTTATAAATTTGTTTCATTAATAATTAATCTTGAGTCTTTATTTTTCTTTCTCTTTTTAGAAAGAATGCTGTTTCGGTGTTGTTGTTGGAGGGCGTCACAAACTTATTACATTACTGAGTCCTTCCACACAGATTCGAGATATGTGGGTGCGAGGTCTTCGCCATCTTATTGACTCTGAAAAGAATGCACAGCAAGAGCGTGAATATGACAGATATCCTTTAGAATGGCAATTCCATGTTTATATTTTATAAATTAACACCTATGAGCTTCACTTACATAAAAACAAAAGTAAAGCTATATTCTGAATGGAGAATAATGGGAAACCACATTTCTTTTAAAATCTTCTTAAATCTACCATCTCCCCCCCCCCTCGAATATAGGGTCACAGCTAAACAGTGCTAGGTAGCATTAGTGTGGTTTCATTAGTAGACCATCACTTTCGAAATATTTTTTTAAATGCCAAAAGAAATGAATAAAATAACAAAAGTAAAATGGAAAATAATAAATAGAACAAGAACTTGTAAAACCTGGGATGACCCCTGCCCTTTATGCCTACATGAAAAACTACACATTAAGTTTCTAAATAATGTAAATTTATTACACTATAGACATGAGTTAACAGTTTTTTGCAGACATCAACAAATTTTTGCATTAAATAATTAGCATAAAAAATAAATAAATAAAAAATTTTAAATTCCATAGCCTAAATAAAAGGTTTAAAAGCTTAAATAGCTTTCTCAAATCCAGTAGCTGTTATCATTATTTCCAGCATTGATGGGGACTGTCTTTCTAACCTTTTATTGAAGTTGTGTGAAACATCAATATATTGGTTATGTCATTATTTTCTTTTCAACTTACACATGCTATCCATTTTAGTTATTGTTGCTGTTGGAAGTCCTCAGATCATTTTTTAATTAATGTTTTAGTTTTGTAGGAGTTTGTGGTGTTGGGTGGAATGCCCCTAATATGTCCTATTCTATGTTCAATTTTCTTATCTCCTATACTAAATTTGTGATAACTGATCCAGATAGTGAGTTAATTGAAATGTTCACTATTTACTATTCCACAAAATTAATTGCACAGTAAAACTTTCATATGAATTCTATTGAACTTTAGTATTCTGTGATCTTCAGTGATCTTCTCTCATTTGTCGTGTCTTGAATAATGTCTTGTGATGATAGACTTTAGCAAATCAGATCAAAATGAAATGCTTAAAAAACAAACAACCTTTATTTACCTGTGGAGTATTTGGCTTTGGATAGTCAACATTTTTTTTTAATATGACTGGAAGAAGTTTCTGTTGATTCTTGTGTTAATAACAAAAATTGTCTACTGTCAGCATATTCATCTTTGATAAATTTCAGCTAGTGAACTCTCCAACCCTTTTAAGATGTGTCTTGCATCTGTTAATTTTAAGATTTATTTGATTGAGGCAATTCACAATAACAAATATTTATCATTTGGCCAGTGAGGAAATGGAGATTGATGTGGTGGTAGAAGGAATGGTGATTAACAGACACTATATACATCTGACGATGACTGGAGAGTATACTGACTAAAAAGGAGCCATCAAAACAGGAGATGCTAGTTAAAATTTACAAGATATTTTCAGATTTATCATTTTCTTAATTTAGTTAATTTATATAAAAATATTGTGTTGAAATTATGATTATATTTTAAAATAAATAAAAGTATTATTGCTGGTTTAATTTTAATGTTTTTCAGTAGGATCCAAATGAAAATGTACCTTTGTGCACTCTTTGAAGTTTTATAAAAGTTGACAGAAGAACAAATTTTTAATATTATGTTTTACCTTTGTTTTATGTAGTACTAGTTCACCTTCAAGTATGAGCAACATCAGATGCAAACAGAGAGGTGTTATGGAATCAGAAAAAAAAACAATATCAATTTCATTATTATTAAAGAGGCAATATCAGTTTGTTTTATCATTTTTATTATAAGATAAGCATTATCAGTTATTGATAAGAACTTTTGGCATAACTTCAGTTGCTTTTAATCATAACTTTTTATTAATCTTATGGATGTTAATAAACAATATCTATGGAAATAGGAAATACTTTCTTGTGTATAACACAATCCTATTTTTGAAGCTAAAGACAGATTACCTCCCCTTATACAGCCTCCCCATGTAATCTTTTTTGAAAAGTTGTACCATATTATCCAGTAAAATCTTAATGTCATTCATATTTGACTAAAATATTTAATTTCTCATGATATTAAAGACTAGAAATGAACAAAATGTTTAGCCATTGCATGTTTCTTCTAATTTCTGTTTCAAAACTTATTTTTAATTTTTGGGGAAAGGTGCTTTGTTGTAACATTTAATGTTATCAAAACCTAACAGATATTGTATATTCTCTTAATGTTTTAAGCAATTTTGGTGAATTTCCTGTCTTTGAGACAAAAAACATTCAATTATGCTGATTAATAAAGAACAAATATTGCTGACATTTCAAATACCTTTTGTAAACAATTGTTAACAACATCAACCTATTTTGTGTTTTATTATCTATTTTTCTGAGTGTATTTAAAACCTTGCTGTTTGAAATAAGAGGTATTTTTTAAGCTGAGTAAAGTTTTCTGAAAATGTGTACTTGTGCATAATAATACACTCTTTTTTGCCTATAATTTTCATTCCAAATTTCTTGTAATTTATACAAGAAATATGATAGTCTTTCAGCAAGTTTTGTAACTCTTTCTTTGAGAATCTTGTCTTAGTATAAGCTTTGCTCTACTGTTTAAAGTTTAGAATAAGAAATTCTATGTTGTTAGATTTCATTTTTGGGACATGATTACTTTTTTTTAGATCAAGCAATTGAGTAACTGTCAATCCAAGAGTCTTTTCAAGGAAGAAATTGAATCTTACTGAAAGCTAATTCTTTGACAATCTGCACTGTTAATGGCTGTAAAATGATGATGTGAGTAATTGTGATGAAAAGCAATTAACAGCCCAACATGTAAACTATGAATTGACAACAACAATATCAAGCAAATACAAAAATTTAAATATCTAGGAAGTATTTTAAATATGATAGCAGAATGTAAAAGTGCATTGGAATAGCAAAAGTTGCCTTCTAAAAGCTAAGAAAAGTATTTAAGAAATAGGAAAATTTAATGAGAAACAAAGAAGAGTGCTGAACTGTTATATTAGTCCTCCTATATAGCACTAAATGATGGACAATCTTCTCACAGATGAAGAGATTTGAAGCAATAGAAATGTGTTTCTACAGAAAGATACTGAGAATACCATGGACGAAATATGTAAGTAATGAGGGACTTTTAAGGAAAATGGAAACAAAAAGGACACTTCTACTTGCAATCAGAAAAATACAGTTCAAATGTCTAAGGTATATAATGAGGAAAGAGGGCTTAGAGAACTTGATATTCCTGTGATATATTGAAAGCAATAGGGACAAGAAAGCAGTAAAACAGAAAAGGGATTAGGAAGAATGGTAAAAAGACTAACTTTACTAAGAGTCGCAAAGGATAGGAAGTTGTGGAGAGCCATGATCGCACATGTACTGAAGGGATACAACACATAGCTATGTTTGATAATCATCATATTTTGCTTTTGTTCATTGAAGGATCTGGTAATACAGTATTGGTAGTTGAAATATACTCCATTGATTCTCCTAAATTCAAACTAATATAATATGATCACAAGAATGAAGGTCTTATCCGCATATTTCTATCAAAAGACAAAAGAAAAAGTTTGTTTTTTTTGTCTAATTTATGGGTTGACAGATTGACGTTTTTGAATGCAAAAAGAAATTAAACTTGACTCTCATTTTTAGACTTCAACTTCAAAGATTTCATTTGTTTTCATATTTCATTGACATAAAACTTATATTTTCTGTTTTTACTGAGTCAAGCAAAATGCTATCCAATTCATTGTTCTGATCCATTGTATCAACAAAACTGTCAATAATACTGACCGACTTTCAAATTGAAATATTTAACACATTCTGATGTGTTACTTAGCCATCATCAGTTCCTGAGCTCCTTTTTAAAATAGCAATTAGTCACTCAATCAGTTTCTTTACTAATGATTTATTGACTAAATTAGAATGAGTGTACTATGTTTGTCTTTGGAATTAAGTAATGATGACCTTTCAGAAGAATGGATTTGACAGGTTGTCTGGTTGTGTCACTATTGTCCTTCTCTTCATTAATACAAACACTTCTTCTTTCTTTCATATTAGATATAGTCAATATTGTCTTGTATATCCAAGGCAAGCCTGCATAAAATATAGCTTGCTGGTTGAATGTGGCCCATGAGACTACCCAGAGTGCCCCACCTTAGGGATTTTAAAGATAGTACATTTTTTGCATTCAACAGAATAAATTTGGTGTCTGATTGTGTACAGAAAACTCGGTTTTGTTTTGTGAAAGCCTGAATTTATTCAGGTGATATTTCACTGTCTTTGTATCTAATTAATCTTTTTAACCCTCCATAGAAAAATAAAAAAAGAATTTTCTTGCCATTCTTCTCTCTATAAACCTGTTTCTATCTAGCTCAGACTTGGTCATTTAGTTTAAAAATGTACTATTAGAGCCCACAGCTAATTTTCTGTGATCAATATGGCCCTTCACATTTTTAAATTGTGCAGGCCTGATCTAAAGTCACTTCTGTTTTAACTTGAAACTTTATTTATAGTAATTTTTAAAAAATGATTTCTCAGGAAAAATGGAATAGTAATTGTCATTACATTTGGTTCTTTTTAATGATGTGAACAGTAAAAAAGAATTTCTATTTCATGGCCTTATTACAGTGTATTGGGTATTTCAGAACATGTTTTCAGCTGGCTCTAAATGAAAGACAACCATAGAAAATGTTATGCAGCATACTCTAAATTTTAATTCTCATTTTCCTTTCAGATATTTAGAGAACATTAACATAGATGGCACAGCAAATAAAAAGGTAAACCATGCTTGTGGTACTGTCAACCATAAAAACTCTGAGATAGCTAGCTTTTTACAAGTGTTCAAGGTCAGGAGTAAGCCAGAAGTCTCTGGTGTGAATGTATTTCTTGTAGTCTTCATAGCAATCAAATGACATCATCATTTACAATCCTAACAATTGGCCCTGATCTGGCATCTCATCTGCAGTTGTTCTCTCACAAACATGTCATCGCCTCCCTCTGTCTTTTTTACAAATACTTTCATGGTAACTGCTCCGAGGAACTGCTTCTGCTGGTTCCCAAACTTCATGAATTTAAGCGTTCTACTAGGCTGGCATCTCGCTCACACACTTTCACTGTCGAAATTGTTAAATGTAGCTGTCTCTTCTACTCCAATAGATTCATGTCCTATTTCCATGATAGCTATAATCTCCAACTATTCAAATGTAAGGTCAATCAACATCTCCAGATGCCCTGATCTATGCCCTATCCTTCTCTTCATCCTTTCCTCTATCACTCCTATTTGCTCTAGCTCCAACTCTCTGTAACCCCTTGCATGCTAGTGGCTTCCCACCTTGCTTGAAGTGAAACGCTTAAAAAAAAAAAAAAAAAAAAAAAAAAAAAAAACAAACAAGTCAGCAGGTGATAACAACTCAGAATGGTGGTGTCCACTATCAGTTAAAAAGAAGACAATTAATATCTGACAAGAACCATAGATACCATGATCCAGTCAATGCCTGTTGAGCATTCCATGCTCTGATTGTTCTCCAATAATAAGACCTTAGACAAGAACCGGAAGGGGAATAGTAAGAACAACACGTGGCTCAACTTGGACCCCATAGAGCTACCCATAGTGATGCACATAATTTTTTGATTTGTGGTGATCCTGAGGTGAAGGGTCATAAACAATGAAGGTTATGTTATGCGGTTCCACTCCTCACAGAGCCTTATGCCATTGTCTGCATAAAGGTCCTGGGCATAATTGTCAATTCTTGGATTGAAGCGATGGTTCAGGTAAAGCCATACACAATTATGGTATCCCAAATTTCCAGAAACCCGTTCTATAAAGCCAGGTAATCTTTAGGATTCTATTCTGCTTATTTCCTTTGCAATCTGAGAATGGAAACAAATCCCTTTTATATTGTATCAGATAGAATTAAGCCATTTTGGTAATTTAATAGAAAGCATTTATTTATTAAGATATTTCCAGATTAAAATTCTGTTCTCATATTTCTGTTCAGAAGTATGATGTCATCAGCTGTGTTATAGTTTCTTAGCCACATTTGAACTGAATTGCTGCAGTCCCAATAGAAAACCTATCAAATTTATGACTAGAAGATTTGCCACATTTTAACTTCAAGACTCTTTTGTTAGAATAAATTATGTTTATCCCAGAAAACCCTCTTTCAGCTTCCACAGAACTTACAGCAATGGTATTAATTATATTTTTAGCTATTAATATATAAGATTATTTTTGGATAGTCCAACAACTGATTCATTAAGCTTTTATAATTTTAAGAACCATTTCACACAAACTTGTAGGATGCCACCACTGGCCATACATGTTTAAGCAGGACTCTCATGAAGCTTTGTGTCCCAAGAACTGCTTACAGAGAATTTTCACAATTACATTCACCCTAATATATGATTTCTTAGTTCTCCTTATTTGTATTTCCTGCACAACTACCTGGTATATCTCTCTAAGAGGAAATTAACAATGAACAAGTTGAAGGCTGTTATCATGAATAAGATCTCTCTAATCATGCAGTTACTTCTGAGGCCATATCAAATTGATCTTGGAAGTTGAGAGTAGTTTTATTGAATAGTCGTTTTTTAAGTTGACCATGTATAAGAAATTTTGAAAATTTACTGTTTTTTTTTTTTTCTATTAATTATTTTTGTTTCTATTTATATTATTTGTTCTCATTTATCTGGTACATTTTATACACAATTCTACCTAAAATTCTAATCATTAATTCTTAAAAAAATTCTGATTTATGTCTCTCTATATTGCTAAATGAAGTAATAATTACCTACAGTAAATTAAATTTTGTTTGGTTCATAAACTATTGAGCAATTATGAGTTGGATCTCTAAAATCTCAAGTTAAATTGAGTCAGAAAAACATAACTAAAATTAAAGAAAGTCAAGATTATTGTTATTGGATTAGTTGGTACAATTTAAGCAGTTGAGAAATTCCATTTTAAAAAATTTCAATTAAAAAAACAACTGTACTGATGCTATAAAGCAATCAAATATTGTTTAAAAATCTTTTAAGTTGTCAAGCAAATACAAATAAATTGTGAATTTGAATAAAATATTTATAATAACCTACCAAAGTCACTTTCCAGATTATCAAATTTCTAAAACTTATAACTTATGTAAACATTTTCATTTTTAAAATGGTCTATAGAATTCATACATAGAATAGAAATCATATATGGAATAGAATACATAGTTACCACTTATACTCTTTGTATTTTGTTATTGTGATTGTAGATTTTACAAAAATTTCATTGACCACATTTGAAAGTGATTTTTTTGTACTTGTTTTACAAAGAGAATAAAGGAGATTGTACTAGAATGATTTTAATTATCAACTTAATGAAAAGATAATCCTGAGTATGAGGTAAACTACATCTGGCAGCAAGGCCTCTGATCGGGAGATTGGAGGTTTTGAGGAATGTGAAATCACTTCTTAATTGCTATTGTTTCCAGGTCCACCCTGGCCTAGGGTTGTAACACCTGTTAGGGTCCCAGCTATGGGCAAATAGTGAACTCTCAAACAAAAACAAAACACTATGAAAGTATAAAAAATACATTTATATAGTAAAAATACCAGCAATATATTTTATCTAAAGTTATCAAAAATATCTATTTATAGTAAAATTACCGACAATACATTTTTAAAGCAAAATGACCAGCAATACATTTTATAGTAGAATTACTAACAATACATTTTATAGTAAAATGATCAATAGTTAAGTGTAGTTGAAGGCATACAATTGCATTCAAAATATTTAGATTTCAGCATTAAATACTCCACAGAAAACAAAATCAATCAACCAAAAATCAAAAGTAATAAATGTTATTTTTATAGATTAGTTCTTATTACTATCTATTTATTTCCTATCACCACATCAACTATAATTGAGTTCATAGTCTAAACAAACTCCACTTTGACCAAGTGAAGCCTGTAGGTCTTAACAAAGACCATCCTTCTTCAAGTCTTGTGAACAGAATCACAAACAAAGAACTGTACCAGACAACAGAGACTACGCCGCTTGAGGACTTTAAACAGCAGAAACAGCTAAAATAGATATAACATAACCCAAAGAGAAAATATTGAAGATGTTGATGTTTCACACTACTTCAAACAAAAGGTTAGGAAGGAAACCCCACTGGAAAGAGTGATAACAGCTACTGAGCTTGAGGAACCTATTTTTCTTGAAAAATTGTTTTAAGAGAAAGATTTTATAAATTTCAACCCCAAAGTAGTACCAGCTGTTTGGTTGATAAATGTCAAGTGTTTTCTTATAAGGAAATGACTAATTACCATTACAATCATTTTGATGGTTGCATGGTATATGCTTCACCAGGGCTACTAATTTTAAATTTAGTGGTCCTTCTCTTAGACTAGTTGCCAACTATTACTAGGGAGCCAGGTCCTGCTATTTGGCCTATAACTAAAGGGGATAAAGTGATTGATTTATACCTTCCCCAAGGGTATTTTTGCAAAATGTGACATAACAAACTTGGCTGGGATTTGAACTTGACTAACCAATTTCTCATTCCTAACCACTGACCACTGCACCACCTCCACATCCCTTTTTATTTGTAGATTTTAAATATATCTTTCTGCAATTTTTTTTTGTTTTACTATTGATGACCTTGAATTTTGATTTTCAGTATTGTAATTCTTAAATTTAATAAAAGATAAGTTTTATTCAGTACAGTTAGTCTCTGGGTTATGATAGTCTAAAACTACAAAGATTAAACATCACTATGCAATCTTCATTAATTTTGTTTTGACTTATGCTGTTTGCCTTGTACATATGACGTATACTTCAAGAGAGGCAAGATCTTAGTGAACAATTTCTTTTCGTTAATTTTATAGTTTTGCTTCAATAATCTATGAATATTACTGATATCAATTAAAATTATTTTTATTATTTGAAATAAAGGAATATTGTCTTTGGGATTCATATTGAAACTTAGTTTTGAAATTATTATGGTATAATATAAGAAATAAAAGCAGAATGAATTTATAGTGGAATTATAAATAACATTTTCAATCTTGAAATCCTTTTTCAGTAGAAATTTACTTTTAGGATAGGTTTGTATGAATAGAATATGTATTTGTAAGAAATCAGTTTGTAGATCAAGTTTCATTGACATATTTTTGTAAAGAGGGTTGTTATTGAAAGTCAAATGTATTGCTGGTAATATGTTAGTTTTTTCAAAAATGTATTGCTGGTATTTTTACTATAAAAATCCATTTTTATACTTTCATAGTATTTTGACCCTAGAGTGGGGGTTAACTATTTGCCCATAGTGGGACACTAACAGGTGCTACCACTCCAGGTCAGGGTGGAGCTGGGAACAACAGTAATTAACAGGTGGTTCCACACTCCTCAAAGCCTCCCAATCAGAGGCCTTGCTGCTGGATGTAGTTTATCGTCATATCTAGGATGAGTGAAATGTTCAAAGTTAAGAGTATATAAGTATATCTGAAGTAATTTAAAATTTGATTCTTAAGTATTTGTGTTGACTGCCAACTGTGGCAGACCATGACTTAAATCTATTGAACTGCTTCCTTTTTTGTGTTTGTTTTATTGCCTTTAATTTCAGAAGAGTTATTTTCTTAACATTTACTCACATGGATTAAAGATGCTTTTATGACAGCAGATAAAAATGAAGATGGAGAAATAGATTTTGAAGAATGCGTGAAACTTCTGAAGAAACTGAATGCTGGTATGAAGAAAAAATACATTAAACAAATCTTTAATGTAAGTAAAAATATTTATTTCTTGCTGAAATCTGAGTTATTATCCATGTGCGTATTTGTATCCCCACCTCAGATGCTTGCAACAACAGTTTCTATCACCTATATCTCTAAAATAAGTTGGCTTCATTATCAAGAGTTTGATATTATTTTAAGAAAAGATAGCAATACTTCACTTTAATCATGGAAGAATAATTAAAGATAGAAATGCTTGTCAGAAAAACTGGTTCTCTTCATAAAACTAAATGCCAGTATCAAGTTATGGAGTTTGAGGTCATTTCTCTTGCTGGTACACAGACCTTTTTATTTAAAACGTTCATGTGCCTGTTTGAAAGAACATAAATTTATACACTGATTTATTCAAAATGAGTGTTATGGTTGCAATATTTTGTCATTTTTCAATATTCCAAAAGGTTCTCAGAATTTTAATCCAAAACCTTTATTCAGGTTCTCATTCCAGTGTTCATACTAATCATTGTGATTTATCATTAATTAATTCTTTTGTTAATTTATCTTTGTGATGCCATTTCTTCTTGAATATGGATTCCACTGCCTGATCCAGATCCATTCACATCAAGTAAATTGCAAAACTTAACCAATGCTTATATTAACAAGGCTGTTGTCACATACTGGGGGTCTGATTTTAGAGCCTTAAATCTTATATTACTTCTTTCCTAAACAAAGTCTCCTATATTCTATTCATTTCTGTTCTATCTATTCTATGCAATACAATACACATTGAATGAATGGTGGTACTTGTAAAAGGTCAGAAAGCATAGAAGCTGAAATGATGTACCTAATAATAATTATAAAGAAAACGGCAGATAAAATAAGTTGATGTATAATAATAATAATTCCTTATCTCAAGAATTTCACACAGAAAAAAAAAGTATCCTTATATTCCTCAAGATAACTTAAAATAATCTATTTACTTGTAGGAACTGAAATTCCTGTATTTAAGTTATTTTTCTCATACAGTTTTGTTTGTTTCTTTTTCTTTTTTATTGTAGCAAGCAAATACAGACAAGAAAGCAAATCGTTATGGAAAGCAAACTTTAGACAAAGAAGAGTTTGTGACATTCTATCATCTTCTTACAAAAAGAAATGAACTTGAAGAACTCTTTAAAAGGTAAGAAATAATTTAGTGGATAGTGAAATTGATGCTTTTTGCATTGGGAAATTTTGGTTTTGGTACTGAGCATTTAACTTCTCTCCCCCATTGGAAATATTGTTTTTATGGATAATTCACAATCGGCTGTAGGTCATTCTATAGATTTTATTCAGAGATTCTGTTGTTAAATTTTTACTCACTTGTTTGTATATATGTTTTTGTTCTGTGCATTTTTTTACTTCAAAACTAAGCAGCAAGCAATGCTTCTCTTTATTTGCTTTGTTTATATGTTTAATGTTTTGGAAATACATCTGACAATATAAAATATTAGATATTTCTGATTAAATAGTAAATGTTTCAGTCAACCATTAATTAGAATGTATTTGTACATTTAAAAAAAAATATTTTTGTGATTTATATAAGGAAGATCTAATATTTGTAAAAATAACAAATCAAAAGAATTTTTCTATTTTGCTTTCATTGAAAAAAGTAAATTTGATATAAAAGATTCACAAGTTGTTCGTGCTCATATTAAATGAGCAAAGTCTTAAAAAATTGCATCTTACAATCTTGCTGGAAATATACATTAAAAGAAAAAAGGACAGTCTTGTTTGTTATATATTAGTCAATGTTAAAGAAAAATGCTTGTTTTGTGAAAAATGCTTGTTACAAAATAATGTTTGCTTTTATTTTAACAAGAAAAGAAAAACATTTTGGAAATCATTATGCAAATTTATACAAAGAAAACAACAGACTCTTCTTTATAGACATTTATTTTCTGTTTTTCTAAGATTTTTTTTAATTTATTTTGTTATCAAGGAAGTACACATCAGTTAATGTTATGGGACATTGTTTTTATAGTTGTTAGTATCCTCTCATTTGATTAAGAATAGTTTCCAATTTTAATTTTAAGAAAAACTAGAAAATCATTTTTTTCATTTGAGTTAAAGCTGTTTTTCATTTTTCCTTACATGTTTGTGCTTAAATAAGCTTTCAATCCATTTAGGTAATTATTTTTAAATTTTCATCAACTTGTATGTGTAGAGATGTCTTTTTAAGCCACATGTTTTCACTCTTATATGAAATTCTTACCTTTTTGACTGCTTACATGTTTGGTAGCAGTTTCAAAAGCAGCTTTTTGATTCCTGCTAAAGAAAACAAACTAACTTTTTTTTTTTTTACCAGCCTGGTTTTAATATTTTCAATCATTGTTTTCCATAAAATCTAGAAATAAAGTAAGCTTTTTTTTTTATTAATTATTTGATTTTTTTTGTGCTTGTTTGTAATTCATAACTCCATATAAGTCTTCATATTTTCTGGGACAGTTACATAGATTTACCAATAAAGATGTTGATAGTATTGGAAAAGAAATACCTGGTTTAAAATATAAATTTACATTTGGTCTTTATCATACATAATTTCCTTCTTTATAATTGAAGTTTCAAAATCAAATTTAGCGAAAAATTATTTTGACTTGACTATTGTAATCTTCATCGGGGAAAAAATGAGTTTGCTTCAAAAGTGTGGAGATTTTATGAAAATAAGTACCAAAAGTATTTTCTGAAATTCAGTATGGCATGTAAAAATGCTTTTTGAAAATTGGGCAATATTTTACTCTTCATTATGCTGGCATTGATGACCATTTTATATATATATATATATATATATATATATATATAGTTAGGCAGCAATCCTTCCTTTATGCATGTTTCATTAAAAACGACAGACAAGGTACTACGGTTAAGCTTTTTATTTAATTTTTCTTGTGTTTTAACAAGAGATTTCTTTTCTGGACAAAGGGTGTGTAAGAACAGTCCAAATGTTTTATATTTCCGAGTGCTTTCGGCTATACCTTTAGCCATTATCAAGGATGATTCGATTTTTCAGCTTAATTGAGTGTGTGTGCATTGGCTGTTTCTTTTTTATTATTAAAGCTTCCATTATTTTTAGTCTTTTTTTACAGGTGGATGCAGTTAATATATTTGTGTTTTCTACTAGTATGTTCCTAATGGAGTCTGGTAAATTTGTGTGTATGTTTAAATGGGTTCTAATGGAGCTGTGATCAGATAGGTGTAACATAAGACGTCTGGATAAGCATGTGGTTGTGTAACTGATGTAATTATTTATGAGTCTGGTTTGATCAGGAACACAGTTCCTTAAGGGGCATTTGAACTAATAGATAATGTTTGTTCTTTGTAATTTTGATTTAGCTGGTGTGTTGTTATTTTTGAGGATAAGGTTGGCTGTCTTAAATTTTAATGATAGATAATATATTTGATTTTTTTTATTCAGATCAATTGGAGTAGTATATTTCTTTATAATATGCCTTACAGAAGATTCATCTTGTTTGTAATTAATATGCATTTGGTTTTTGTAATAAATGTGTATGTGATTTTTGGCTGTGTGTTCACTACTGTGAATTAATCTAATTTGGTGGTCTATAAGGTGGTTAGGGAAGCCGTTGTTGATTAGTGTTTGTTTAATGTTAAAAATAATGGAAGCTTTAATAATAAGAAATAAAAAGCCAACTCTTAAGAATATTAACAACGAACAAAGCCACAATGTGCTAACCGTATTCGGAAATTAAAAACATCCCTACCACACACTAAGACATACACAGAACGCACACATACTCAATTAAGCTGAAAAATCGAATCATCCTTGATAATGGCTAAAGGTATGGCTGAAAGTGCTCAGAAATATAAAACATTTGGACAGTTCTTACACACCCTTTGTCCAGAAAAGAAATCTCTTGTTAAAACACAAGAAAAATTAAATAAAAAGCTTAACCGTAGTACCTTGTCTGTCGTTTTTAATGAAACATTCATATATATATATATATCTCCTTTGGTATAAATAAAACAGTGCTCAATGCAAAATGACTGAGCCATTAAATATACATAATACCCCATGCTGACAATTACATACACTATGCCATCATCAATAACTGATGATTGCATAGTGGATGAAACTCTGAGCCATACAGTCAGTGTGGGGTATTATTCCTGCCCTTCCATGCACATTGTAGTGAACCACCTTCATTCCCTTCATATTCCATTAGTGAGATGTAAATTCTAATTGAGCAGATTCTTTCCATGAACTGCTGCTTTGTGGAAATGACTCTCAAGTGGATGCTTCCCCAATCACTACAATCTTAACCTGTCCAAATCTAGGGTCAACTGTTATGTTCCCTGCATATTCCAAGTGGCTTTTGGGCCTTGTACAGGGTGAACATCACTGTAAGAAAATATTGCAAGCCTCTCTCTGCTCTATTTCCATGGAAAGTGTTCAAATAAACTACATTCCTTAGTTCCAGCAGTTTTAACCTTCCTGGCAAAGACCCAACCTGCCATGCACTTTGTTGTGAACCACCCTCGTTCCTTTCATATTCCATTAGTGAGATGTAAATTCTAATTAAGCAGATTCTTCCCATGAACTGCCGCTTTGTGGAAATGACTCCCAAGTGGATGCTTCCCCAATCACTACAATCTTAACATGTCCAAATCTAGGGTCAACCGTTATGTTTCCCCACATATCCCATCAACTGTCCGTCTGTAATCCTTTACCTCTTGTGATTCTTGGGCTTTGTACAGGATGGACATCATTGTAGAAAAAGAAAACAATAAAATTATAAGTTCATAGAAAAGCATGAAAACTTTACACAAGCACATCAGTTTTGCTCTTAATATGAAATAAATTAATATGCAAATATTTTCTATGGTCACTTCATGCTAATTATCATAAAATTATTTAATTCATGTCAAATTATTAGAATTTTTTATTGTAAAAATTATATAACCTATTTTGTGTTAACTTTAAGATATTTTACTATTTTTACCAGCTGTAGATGTTAAAATCTTATTTTACTGAATAGCTTTTTTTATAATTGTGAAATCATGAAATCTGATATTTTTTTATTATTAAATGTTATTAAACAAAATTTATCTTACTTGTGTATTTGTTGGTCATAATTTACACTTAAATTTTACATGAGCTGTATAATTCCTATCATTTTGAGTCATTATAAAAGAATACGTGAAAGTACAACTTTGTGCATAATCATCAGTTTGAAATGTTATTTCAAGTAAAAGCAGTTATTAATATTGTGATATTAATCATTACTTGGGTTATCAGTATTGGGGAGGGTGAGTTTCAGATTTATCATTTTAAAATGTTTACTCATGTTTCTGCTCTCAAAATCAAACTATTAAAGCCTGTCATGTCCCAAACCTGAACATTTCACAACCAATGGCCTGAACTGTTGAACTCATCAGAAGGTATTGGGTGGGCGAAAATCTTTTTGGTTTTGTCACTAAATAGCATTAACAACAATAGCTTTAACTAACTTAAAAATTTTTGTTTTTGTTGTTTGATTTTAACATCATAGAAGGCAAGAATTTATATTTTCTTTTATTTATTACTTTAAGAAAAGTAAAAAATGCAATTAAACACTAAAAATTGTATTTTATGGAAAGCGTATTGTGAATGATTAGACCTGTAAAAAGCGTTTTTAAAACTTTCATGTTGAATGATAATAGTCTGAGCAGTTGAGGTTGATAGAAATCAAATCAAGACTTGAGAATAATCAATTTGCACTAACTTGGTTATGCTAATCACTTTGATGTGTGGTTTCCTCATATGTCCTTGTTATTTGTGACTTAAATATAAATTTTTCAAAATTGAAGTGGAGAATTAAAAATTGTTTTCTGAAAATGTGGAATGTAACAAAACAAACCACTACTAATTGTACCAATACCCAATCTTGATCAAGAAGAGGCAATGCTATGTATATTGTCAGATTGGAAGGGTGTTCCCTATTATGAGCTCCTTCTGGAGAGACAAATGATTGATTTAAACATGTATTGTTCTCACTAAGACTAATTGATAATAGCATTTAAGGAAAAGTGTCCAGAATTACTCAAAAGAAAGGATATAATATTCCAAGCATAATGCTAGGTGGTATTTTTTTTTTTTTTTTTTTTATAAACTGATAAAAATTGTTACAGTTTGGTAGAGGA